TATCTTTAATAATAACTTATATGCTTGAACCAATATATAAAATAAGATGGTGTATTTTTTTTAGTATGACTTTTTCCAGTTAGAATTTAAATAAATTTAGTGGTGACAAAAAAAAAAAAATAAAAAGGGAGGGATTGTTATCGATCTGTCTTCTAATTACGCACAATTGTTGAGTTTGAGATTTTGCTGAGTTATTTTCTCTTTCACCAATAAATACGGTAAATTTTGATTGGCTAAATCTGGAGTAATCCAGTAAAAGAGTAATCAGTTAGTTCAAGTTAAAGAGTAATCAATTAGTTCAAGTAAAAGAGTAATCAATTATATTAACCTGTTCAGTTTTTGCTGCCATTAATTGTGCTTGAAAGATAGAATTTGATTTTTGAATCATTCGTTCCGTTATCTGAGTTACTCCTTCAGCTGCTACCAATACTTCATTGATAATTTGTGACCAATAATTATCACTTCCAACATCATGCATTTCAGTTAGCATTGTCTGGAATTATATACCGTACTACCAAATGAATGTACTATATCATACATATAGTTATGCCGGATTTGGCATATTGTGGATTAACCGTTTCATGTTAAGTGCGCACCGAAAATCTGAAAAAAATGATGAAGAAAATGTCCATTATTAAATACAGTAAGCATTTGGCTATATGGAAATGAACTGCATAGATATAACGTATTTTATAGGTATGGGAAAAAATTAAAAAATATGTTACAAATAGCTATGCCTATACAGTACGATAGTACTGTATGGGTAAAATGTACTGTATGGATATGGAATGTACTGTATGGAGAAAACATGATGTTTTATTTATAGGTATAGCTGTTTGTAACAAAATTCTTCAATGAATCTTGGACGTCTTCTATAGATTTGGACTTGGGCTACAGTATGCAGTAGATTTTTTACTATCACAAAATCTTTTTGATGCTTGGCTGCTATTTTGAAGAAATAATTCTATATTAGGCTAAATATGCTTAAGCTATCGCCTTTTAAATTTTATCTATCAAAAGCTAAAAGCTTTTTTTTTCTTTACGCCATATCAGTGCTGTTCTTTTCTGCTGATATCATATCATCTAACTGACTGGATTATTTAAGTTTCTTGATATCAATGAAGTAATGAAAATTTCATATGACAGGAAAAAAAAGTGTCAAATTTCAAAGTTTAATTTTGTTAAAATTGAAATTTCAAAAATATTTCTTTTTGTCAAGAATTTTAAAAGACACATTTCAATTTTTTTTCCTCCATCCTAAAATGTGCAAATTTTACAAAAAAAAAACAAACTTTACATGCACCAGCAAGTTTTCGACTTTCCCTTATTAGTTCAGCTTTTTCATTTTCAGAATCGAACGATTTTTTTGGTGACTGATTCGGCAAATCATTCATTGTTTTTTCAAGTTTTTTTCGTAAATTTTCTACTCTGGAAAAATATTTTAATAATTTATGCAAAAATTGAAACTTTCAATTTTACAATGATTTTTGAAAAATTTCATTTTCGTTTCTTCTCCTCTTCTTTTTTCTTTTTTTTTTTTGATAATTTCAAAAAATTATTGTTAATTTGAAAAAAGTATTACCAAAAAAAAAAAAAAAAGCCGAATAAAACATTTTTTGTAATAATTGTACTTTTTAAAATAATTGCTAACCTTTCATTAATTTCATGAAAATTAATTTGTTCGAATTTTTTTGCTGATTCATTTTCAGGTAATTTTCGTAATTCAGTACATTTAATATCTTCAAAAGTATTGTTAACAATAGGACGACGTCGACTGCTATATGTATCAATTAAACTTATTGGTGATGAATAATTCGTCTTAGCATATTTGTTTGCATTCTTTGGTGGCATTAAATTGTTTTGCCTAAAAATTTTAATATTAAATAATTGTGACTTTTATAAAGTATAAAGAAAATAAATCGATAAACGAAATGTGAAATATAATTAAATTATAAGTGAAATAATTGAATTATTTAATTGCAATATAAGTAATAATTATGATTTATGAATAAGAAAAATTACAATCATCTCATAATTTTTTTTCAATCATAATAAATTTTTAATAATTAAATTTAAAATAAATGATTAAAATATTCGAAAAGTTGAGTAATTCTGAAATTTTAATACAATTTAATATTTACACAAATTGAATCACCAATAATAAACAATGATAAAGATGAATAATTGTGATAACAACGATAACATTAAATTAATTACAATACGACAACAATTATAAAAGGTACCAGTAGAAGAATAACGATGTTATCATCGATGTTATCAACGATAGCTATATGTAACAATAACAAATTATGCTAATTAGCTCTAATAACAACAAAATGTAATAATGATATACTGCTATTGATGATGATAACGATAGTAATGATGATGATGATGATAATGATAGCAATTATTATTATATTATGAAAATTATATGGAAAATTATATGTATATTAACATTTTCTATTATTAATTTACTCTCAAGTATGTTCAAATTATAATCGGAAAACCAGAAATTGGAAAAGTTCCGTTTGATTACAAATGTTGTCTACATGAATTTCAGCAATAAAATCTTTTCAGTTAACTTAAATTTTACAGTCAGTTTCAAAAAAAAAAAAAAATCAAAAAAAATTTAAAATTTGTCATAGTTACCTTTTTCTTTCGTTTGTTAATTGGCAACAATTTGGATAATTATTTAATTCATAAATTTCATTAATATTAAATTGATAATTTCAAAAGTATGCCATATCCAATTTTATCATCTATTTGATTATCATTTCAATACGTACCATTTGGTATACATCAAATAATTACAAGTTAATATGAATTCAACATTTTATAAATTTCCTGTAAATATGCAAAATTTTTATGTATCAAAAATTTAAAAAAAAA